TGCAGGTGCAGTGCCACGGAAGCCGATGACAAACGGGCGTCAAGAAGTCAGTTAGCGGAAGGGCAGATTTGCACCCATCGTGGGGTTGGAGGGCTTATTTGCTACTTTTTTAGGTTAGGGGCTTATCGCTTGTTGTCGAAAAAGTTGAAGGGCTTAAGATGGGTTTTTGCCCTTTTTTTGTAATTTAATTAACAAAACAGTTTTTATTATTAAAATATAATGATTTTTTCTTTTGTGAAATATGCTATTCAATCTTATCTTTATTGAAAAAACAACTTTTCATTTTTAATAAATGTAAATTCTAACATTTTGTTCAAATGATTGTTATACTTCAAAATAAGACCTTTGAATGTTGACTTATCGACATAAGTTTTATTACAAACCAATTGATTTAAACAATTGAAATAAGAAATCTATTAAATTTTAAAGGAAAACAATAATAAAGTAAATATGTTTGTACCATATATATAATATTTTTAATGGTTTATCTCGAACTTCAATGTATGTTATAGATTTTTCAATTGTACAATCAAATAAATAATGTAATGTTTGATAATCATTATAACTATTTGTTGTAATAAGATTTTCTTCCATTATATCTTATAATTCTATAAATATATATAAAAAGATAATTATAATTAAAAATACAAAGATTCAACCTAACCTTCCATTTCTTGTCCATTTGTTGTGATAAGATTTTCTTCCATTATATCTTATAATTCTATAAATATATATATATATAAAGATAATTATAATTAAAAATACAAAGATTCAACCTAACCTTCCATTTCTTGTCCATTTGTTGTGATTTTTAAGTTCTTGCGTTTAGATATTTTAATATTTACATATATATAATTTATAGAGACAATAATATGTAAGTTTAGAAGAATGCGAAGAGTTTGCTTTTCTTTTAGAGAGTTGGTTATATTCATTTAAAAAATAAATAAAAATTAATAATAGCCAATGAATAAAATAAAAAAATTAGTATTCCCTATTTATTTATAAAATAGAATGAAATAATTTTGGGAAAATTGAACTAATTTATATATTTTTTTTAAATTTTAGTATTTTTTATTAATATTAATAATAGTGTTTTATTGTATATTTATCCATTAATTATATTTGATGCGCTAAAAATATTAGCAAGTATATTAGTTGATTTAAGTAATAAAAGGATAAGTGTTAAATCCACAAAAATTGTCACTGGTTAACAAAATATTAAAAATAATTAATTTTAAATCTATTTGAATAATAAAAAGAGGCAAAAATAATAGTAAAGGATGGAAAAAATAGCACAAAGTCATTTACCTTATATAAGAAATTCTACTATATATAAGAAATTCTCTCAATATATAAACCTATAACAAGAATGAAAAAAATTAGTTTAAGTACAAATTAAAACTTTAAATTTGTAGAATTATACAAAATATTAAAAAGGTTATAATAAAATAGAACAATTTATGGGTTAGAGATTATATTATTGGCTTGTGACAAAAACTTCATCAGAATGAAATTGGTCTATGAAAAATAAGGAGGCTAAGAAACTAAGAAAATGAGAAGAGATTAGAAAAAAGAGAGAAATGAGTTTGAAGAAGAAGAAGATAAATGGCACAATGGTAGAAGAATTATTATGGCTTATTTATAAATAGAAATATTTGCATTAGTCAATGTTATTTACTTCAACATTACTGACACAATAATAATTATGTGGAAAGTGGTGCAAAAACATAACAAGCTTTGAAATTTTTAAAAATTTCGTGTATCAGTGTTAATTTGTTGATTCAAATACTTCAAAATATTTAAAAATTTCAAGTATTAGTGTCAGAATTAATGTCAATTTGCTAACTCAAATATTTAAAAAAATCCAACGATAAAATTTATGAAACTCTCATAAAAAAGAATCCACTTTTGTAAACTAATTTATGAAACACCTCATAAAAATGACTTGTAAACCTATATATTAATATATTAATCATTCTACCAACTTAACATATTCATCCAAAAATAAAAAATAAAAAACTAAACCTCATTTGCATATTAATCAATATACCAACACCTAATGTAAGATGCAATTTTAGACGTCAAATGTAATGATTAGGAATTTCAAATTACCATTACCATCAAAAGTACAAAGTGGCAATTTTGAGAACTCTATGAATTTAAATCATTGTACAAAGTGATTAGTATGATTTTGTTGATGTTGTTCAAGGGTAAGGTTAGGGCTCATTTCTTTATCAAATATGCTGTTTTAGACAACTACTTTAGTTAGATAATGAGATATAAAGCAATATGACATACATTTTAATGATATTTACTTCACCCATTCATCAACTTCCTTGTAATTAAGCAACACATAATACTCAACCACTATTTGTTGATGAGAACATAATCTAGAACCTAATGGTTTCTCAAGGTAGCTGAATATGGATAAGCTCTTGTTGGTGATGATGTTGAGGCTAACATGGTTTCTACATTCCCTCTTCATCCTTGTGCAAACATCATCACCAATATTGAGAAAAGAGATGTGTGATGTCATATATAATATATGATTTACAAATACAACCCTCCACCTGTGTTTTGTTTCGCATAGTCTTTTTTAGTTTGTGTATAAAATTGTTGAAAACAATAATAATAATGACATTTAATTAGAAAAATGTTAAGTATAAGATATTATCAAGCATTAATTATCATTATTTTCAAACATTACCAATCAATTGGATACATCTATTGAAATTGAACAAGTCATCCAACCTTCCTCTCATATGGAACATGAAAGTCAAATACTCCATTGAATTAAAGAATGCTAGAGAGGAAGATCATTTCAAGTTTACATATTGTTTCTACAATCTTTTCCTTCCACATCTCCATTTGAGCTTTGCTTAGCACAGGTGCCCATAATGAACAAAAAAAATGCACTAATCTTTGCAATTGCAATCTATATGGCATCTAGCAATAGATTTCAAATTGCAATTAGCAATAGGCATTGCATGTAAACATAACAGTTATGATTCTTCATCCCAAAAAGTTTGAGTTCTTAGATGTTTACATATCGAGAAATGTTTGAGGTATATCCATCGGGGAATTGCAATTCCTTTAAGTGATGGAATACAATTTTAAGACAACTTTTGCTAAGAACATAAGATGCATTTGGCTTTCTTAACTTCCCATTAATTTATTTCATATGCAAACTTGGTTTATTATAATACAATACTAAGTCTAACCTTGACTTTACATTATTCTTTTTGTTATGTGGGTCATAAAATACAATGTCCTTAATGTTATCAAAAAAGTTCTTTTCAATGTGCATGCTGTTGAGATTGTGTTGAATTAGAAGGTTATTCCAGTAAAAAGCTCCCAAAAAATGCTCTTAACCCAATTATGTTCACCCTAAATTCCTTAATTCTTTAAGTGTCACATGGATTGCCAAATAAAATGTCTAGCGATCTCTCAACCTAATGAAGCATTAACCATCTAGTTAATCTTGGCAGAAGTGGGTTGCATTCAACTATCCCAATCCTAAACTGATTTGTGTTATACCTAAATAGATGATTGGTTGGCAAAAATTGTTTATGATACTTAAAAAATAAAGTTTTCCAACTATTTTGTAGTTGTAAAGTCCTAGTCTTTTCCGCATAGTATGGACAAAACAACCTCTCATGAGTACTCCATCTAGACACCATGCTATAACCTGAAAAGTTAATAATTGTCCATATGAGAACAACTTTCATCGCAAAGTTTTATTGTTTGTAGTTGTTATATGTTTCAACCATAGTTGTCCACAACTCATTTAATTCATCAATCAAGGGATGAAGGATGACATCAATGTTTTTATTAAAGCTTTTTAGCTCAACAATTATCAACAAAAGAAATATAAACTACTACTTCATGTAAAGTTCAAATAGTAGGTTGTACATAGTTATACAAACCGACCAACATGAGTAAGGAACTATTAAATGGTGATAAAGATTGAAGACATCAGTGCACAATCCTAATTTGACATTTCAAGGTTCATTCGCAAAACATGGATGTATTCTATCAAAATGCTTCCAAGCCTTATAACAAGCAGGATGAATGGGCTTATCAAAATTCTCATGACATTTTGAATGCTAAGTCATGTGACCTGCTGTTTTTTTAGACAAATAGTCTTTGTAGTCTAAGGGGTCAAAGAGATATACCATAATGACTTTCTAGGTATGGGCTTAGCTTTGTTACAATTTTAGTTAATCTACTTATACTAGGCTCATTGCATAACGAGCAAGTATTCAACTCTTTTGCAATGCCTTTGAAATATATGAAGCAGTCATTTACACACACATCAATTTTTTCATATCTTAATCCAAGACCCATAGTGAATTTTATGTTTGGTAGTCTTTATTTGAGACTTTTGTTTAGTCTTCTAGACTCAACAAGCATATACTCTTTGCTAATGTATTGTTCCAATTAGCTACCATCATGTTATATTGCATCTTCATTTGTAGCATTTTCTTTACCCATTTCAAAATTCTTTCTTCTTGCCCTACAACTCCAATAAGGACCTCTAACGCCCTCAACAAATGATAGAGCGCATGAGTATCCTTATTAGGCTCCTTTAAAGTTGATTCATTATTAGAAGCTTCTCTAATACTTGACACAAAATTATTATTAACTTCTACCTATTAAAACTAATTATAATTCATGTGTGAACCAAATGCATCTATTATCATGTGTTGATACATTGTTTCAAGTTGAAAATATGAAACGTTATGATTTGTTGTTTACCTTTTAGACCCATTAACTATATTATTAATTTTCTCTCCATGTTCAAGCCACACGTAATACCCTCATAAGAATCCATGTCATAGAAGATGGTGCATGACTTCATCACGGACTCACTAATACCTATTTCCACATTTCTTATAAGGACATCTTATTTTATATCTACTAACAACTCTTAATCAAGAAAAAACAGTTTCAAGAAAGAACTCAACCATTGTACTAAATTCCTCCCTAAAAGAACCATGAGAGTCTATCATGTTTGACATCCAATTGTGGACATTTGATATCTCATGTGATCTGTTACTGAGTGATATAGATAAAACACTATATATAATTAATTTAAAGTGTAACACAAATAAATCTATTGAGACCTAACTAGATAACTTAATTCTAAGAAGTACCACCTCAAGTTCTATTTATTTGTCACAACACATATTTGTTTTAGTCCATAATTATTTTTTTGCACTTTTTTAATATCTAAATTATGAAAAATGTACTTTTTTGTCATTTCACTAGTTAGTCAGTTAAGTTTATCTAAATATACATGTAATTTAAGAGCTAAAAATATCATATATTAAAAGTTTAAGAATTAAAAAAGTATATATTTGAATAAACTTAACAAAGTAACTTACATAAGAACAAAAAAAAAAGTATGCTCTTTCTAGTTAAGAGACCAAAAAAAGTGTAAAAAATAGTTCAGGTACTAAAAACATTTAAAAATTAAAAGTTTAGGGACTAAAATGTTATAAATTTATAAGTTTAGGCACTACAGTGCTATAAATTAAAAATATAGGCAAGAAAATGTTACAACTTAACATTTATCCCAAAATATTGGTTAAATGACAATTGTGGTCCTAAACTTTATAGTTTTGTAGTTTTCGTCTCTCAACTTTTTTATGCACATTTTTTGTTCAAAACATTAAAAAATGCATTTTTTAATTATTCTATCAATTAATCTATTATATTTATTCAAATATACACATTTTTTATTTTTTAACTTATAATATATGCCAGTGTTGTCAAAAGCGAAAAGCGAAGTGGACGCTTCATCGAAGTGGACGCTTCATCGAAGTGAAACGGACAATAAAAAAATATGACTATGTAATAGCCTAAATCTTTTCAAAAAGTACTCAAAACATGATATATTAATAAAAACAGATTTTAAAGTTCATAACATCAATTATCAAAACAGAAAATTAGCAATGCATGTAAGCATAATAGTCAAAAAATTAAAATAGTGCAAAAAGTCAAAAATAGCATAATATCATTCCAAAATCTAAGATAAATCATCTACATCCATGTCATCCTCATCAACTACATTCATCTCATCATCAGCACTGTTGTCATCTCCATCACTTAAGTGATAATCCTCAATCTCTTTCTTTAATTCCTCTGTATTAGCCTTTTCTTCTTCAATTTCTTGTACAACAGTTTTTCCTTTAAAACTTGAAGGTTTTAATGTTGATTGTCTACCACAAATTCTTTTAGTATAATTTCTAGGCTTTTTAGCACCAAAAGCTCTAGCTACCTCTCCCTAAGTCAACTCATCATCACTAAAAACAAGTTCATTTTCAACATCATCTTGGTCACCACCTATTTTTCCAATCAACCATTAATTACTATCATCAATATAGTCAAGGGAGATTAGATCAATTTCATCCTTGTTATTATATCAAGCTTTAAGAGCTTGATTATACTTAACAAATACAAGATCTTGCATTGTCTTATGCTCAAGTCTGTTTCTCTTCTTGTTATGAATATGTCCAATTAAAATAGATTATGTAATTAAATTATACGATAAAGACAATAGGTAATAAGTTAAATTAAAATACTTTTTTGTATTTTAATCATCAAGTGCTAAGTTTATTAACCTTAAATGACTTCTATAGAAACCAAAAATCAAATATGAGATTATGAGTTATTATATAAACTTAAGAAATCAAGAGCTAACCGCATTGCAAAAGAAAGAATGATCTCAAGCTTTCAAGCACTGGAGATTATGTGGCACTAGAGTACCTTTTAGTTGGTGTGTCCACAGCGGCACAACCACTAAATTAGTTATTAGTTCCCTACATGTCTATTACTTTACTTTACTCTCTATTTTCTTTCTAACTGCTTTTGGATAACATGATTGTTGTTTTGGATCTCTAATGACTTTTCAATTATAATTACTCTACTCTATAT